GTGGTTTACTGGGACAATTGAACAGATCGTGGTTTACTGGGACAATTTAACAGATCGTGGTCCTGTCAACCTCCTCAATGTCACCTGGAGTCAGCGGCCCAGTGCATGGAATAGATTTTAGCCAAGTGTCCCTTGAGTGTCTTCCTTAGCTTCAGCTGGACTCGGCCCACATCGGACGCCCCTCCTGCTGCTGCTGTCATGTTGCCGTCATTCACAGCTTTGCGGGACGCCTGGTGGTCACACGGGGAATTACATGTTGGGGTGAAACAACAGAGACGAGACAGAAGAAAAGAGCAAGGACCTCACTTAGCCACCTCAGCTCCACAAATGTCCTCCTAACCTGCAGTTTTAAGTTGAGTTCATTAAGATTATGTTGTGCATGATCAATTTTGATCTGACCCTGAAGAACAATTAAACAGATTTGTCGGTGCTATATAAGTCATATAAAGGGATGGAGATAGGTGGTACTGCTGAGGTGAGAGTATCCTTAGTGGTACTGGAGGGGGTACCTGCGATTTTTCCTTCATGCATGATTCCTAAAAATATATTAAGTAAAATTATAAATGTATATGAAAGTTTGACAAACCCCGCTTTGTATTTAGTATTCCTATTTTCAATGCAGTCGTTAACTGGCGTAAACTGTCAACTTCAGCTACAAATACAATCACATTCACGGTACGTTTTGAGCTGCTCAGGGGGTAATTAGCTGAAAATAATATCTCAGAGGGGGTTCAGTATTGAAAAAAGTTTTACAACCACTGTATTGTGACAGTGATAGCATCAGTGCAAATACTAGTAATGCTATTTTTAGTAATGGCACTTGAAATAGTACTAGTAATAATGGTGGTAGAGGTAGATTTGGAAACAATAGTTAGTAATAGTACTAGTGGCAGTAGGACTGAAGTATATTTTACCTATTATCACTGTCCAATTAAAACCATGTATTTCCAATTGTAGTGATTTTGATATTTTTCTTTATGGTTTGAGAAAGTGTTTCTACTTCTTAAGCTAAATAAACTTTTATAAAACTGGAAATGAAACACATGAGGCAGAGCGTTTGTGTAATCGGGGCGTCACATTGCTTCAGCATTTTTTAACAACCGGCAACAGGAAGCACTGTGCGTTTCACCTGCACGGGACGCTGCTCACCTCAATCTGTGCACGGAGGCCATCGCACTCCTTTTTCAGCATGTCCATTTCAGCTTTCTCAGCTGCCATGGCGACGTTTATTTGGGGATGTTAACTGACGGAAAAAAGGAACTGTCAATCTGGAAAAAGAGAGAAAAAGAGAGGATGGGAATAAAGAGAGAGAGAGAGAGAGAGAGAGAGAGAGAGAGAGAGAGAGAGAGAAAAACAATAACATGTGTTAGTTATGTCAAGTATTGGCAAGTCAGCTCCACAACTCCTGAAGGAATTCACCGCCTCTGGCTACACTGCTGTCGAACTCCTGCCGTACACTACAGCCCAGTGCAGGTACACAGAGAACCGCTGACCGGGCTGTGCATCACTCAGTGACCCAGATACCTTGATCTGGAACACTCAGGTTGCTGTTACACCATCAAGTCTAGATTAGACACATACTTGACGGATGTAATCCCTCCCTAAACCAAAGTTGTAATACAGTTAGCTCTGTAAAATGACATAGAGTGATAAAAGGAATGACAAGGTGAGGGGAAAACAGTGTTCATAGAAGGAAATACATTTTAAAAAAGGATGGCTCAACGGAAAGATTGCACAAAGAATAGCAGAGGCAGGATTGGAAAGAGAAGAAAAGAATATTATTTTGAAGGAAAGGAAGGAAGGGAGTGAAGAAGGGAGCTAAACCCAGACTTTTTTCTCAAGATATAAAACTACACGTAACACATGCAGCATGTGCATTCCCTGAACTGCGTCACTACATTTCTGAAGTTTTAATGTTCAATATCAGAGTTGAGATCAATCAAAAATCTCCAGAAAATCCAGCAAATTTCCTCTTTAATTAAATAACTTAATCTAATTTACATTACTTTATTGTCATGCACCAATCACCAAACCAGTTCCCTTGTATGTGCCAATTGTACTTGATTCTGATTTAACTCAAGGAATTCATGACCAGCTCATCTTTTGGTGGAGCTTTTAGGATTAGCTTCTCATTTGGAAGATCCAAAGCATTTTTTGTCAATCATATTTTAGATTAAATCAGTGTTGGGTACTTATTTGTTAACTAACATTAGCATTTTAAGGTCAACTCATTAGCTTGGACCCAGACCAATGAACATAGACAATCATTTTCAGTCGCCGACATCCCAGTGAGGCAACAGCAACGAGAGAAGCGTCGAATGGCTTTTTACTCCTGGTATTAAATGTCATCGCTGTCTTTTCAAACACACCGGTTCCTTTACTTCAACATCATTTTGATTTCGAGACCTGCATGTTGAAGTTAAGTGTATGTGCCTCACACTAATACTGTAATAGGATACTGCCGCCTGACTTATTTAACCTCAACAACCTCCGTGCTAAATTCAGCTTAATGGCAAGGAAAGTCTCTCAAAGCTAAAACTCTGCACTAATCATACGATTGTTGATGCTAAATAGCGGAATTTCCATCGTTCAATGCATGGTTGACAAAATGCAAAAATGAATTCAGTTGGATACAGAAAATAACAAAATAAGCAACAGTTCCCCCCCCCCTCTCTTATAATTACGCTTAAACATTACTCATTTGCAACGGTAAAAATAATACTAATATAATATGGTGATGCAACGTGGCAGTTTGTGGGAACACAGTCAGACAAGGAAAAATAAAAACTTGTTGAAATGCCAAACATTCCCGGGTTACAGCTTCTTAAACGCTTTGGATTTGCTGAAAATCAGTGACCATAAGCCTTAAAATGTCATGCCGACATTTTCATAGACTGAACACTTAATAGAATAGAAGAATAATTAAGAAGGTAAAGCTGCAGCCCGACACGTGTCTTGCACAATACAATCAAAGGATTCATTGAACAGAAGAAGTGAAGGGTCAGGATGAGGACTACTTGCAGCCTGTGACAGGATGCAGGGTGGAGGATATGGGCAGTGGTTGTAGGGTGGGCTGCTACAGGGCTTTAAATCCCCGGCAGGAGATCTTAAAGGAAGCTTTACAGGTCAAATCTCCTGTCATCCGATTACTGACTGCTCTTTACTCCGGGATCAGATACACAGGCAGGGAGGGAGATGTGGAGTCTATGTCACAGTCAAACATCAGCAGCTCCTCCTCTGCGGTCCCGTTCTCTTACTTGACAGAAACGATAATGTATTTGTGCGCTCACACATGAAAAGTTTCTGCTCTGTGAAACCGTTCTCCAGAAGAATTCCAAAAACAATTGAAAAAGTGTATCAGTAAGAAACAAAACCCCGTTTTGCAATAGCCCCCCAAGCAACATCGAGCCTGCAGCATAGAAATCTGCTGGCCTGAGTGAGCCGGAGGACGTCGGTCCCTGTATGACAGTTCAGGCTGCAGCTTACTGCTGCCACACCTGAGGCACCAATCCTCTTTGGCAGCTTCCCTACAATCCAAAGATCACCTTCAAAGGGTTTAAGGAATCATTACTTTGGATGCGATTCTATATACTAAAGAAAGTATTAGGAGCCTGCAGAGTGGAGAAGCTTTCCCGTGCTGGATTTTACACAACAACTCAGAAGTGAGCATTGGAGGGAAAGCTCATGCTTCTACGAAATCACTGCAACGTGCAGGTGCAGCTACATTTCGTGGTTAGCAGGAGGCCATGTGCGGAAATAGTTTACCATAACTCTCCTGTGTTGCACGGTGAAGCAATAGTCCACTTCCTGTTTTTTTTAATTCACACAAAAGCAAAGGAAATCCACTTCCTTTCTTTCTAGTTTCACAAAGTTAGAGACGCAGCTTCACAGCGTTTCGCTGCAGCTCCAGACGTTCTCCAACAGCAGAGGAAGCACCTGAAAAGAGGAAGCGTAGAAGAAGAAGCTCACCTTTTTCTACACACAACGTGGTCAATTCTCTCCTTCTGCACCGACTGCAGATCCTGGTCCCCTTTGAAGTTTTTTTAGATTCCACAATCCCAGGGTGCTCGCAGGCTCCTCCGACGCTCTCCCCCGGCAGACTGGTAGCAGCTTACTAGTGAGAAACTCTCTCTTTCTCTCTCCCTTCCTCCACAGTGAAGAACAGATGAGGATTGGAGGGGATGAGGGAGATAAGGGATGAAGGGATAAAGCTCAAAGATGGAAATAGAGAGGGAAGGTAGAGGGAGAGAGAAAGACAGGGAGAGGGGAGCCTGGCGAGAGGAGGCAGGTAAACCGATTGGAGCAGGAAAATTAGGTTATGAGGTCAAAATAAAAGAAGAAGGCAGGAAGAGAAAGGGAACAGCTGGAGGTGAAATGTGAGAATATGAGAGAGGAGACGAAAGACTGTGTAGGTTTGCAGAGAAACTACACCTGTTGCACTTGAAAATTAGGCCCTGAGGGAAGGAAACTTACACATCAGCCATGCACGTAATAAAATATGAAAGAAAGTTTTGTTTAATGCGACGAGCAACCCGTATTTATGTAGGTGTAATGACTGCAAACTAAAAGCCAGAACAAAAATTAAAAAATGCAAAAATGAGCCTAATTCCAACAATTTTAGTCATCCTAAGGAAGCACGTAAGATCATTTGTAACCACATATTCATACATTTGAGACATTATTTTCATTTCTTCAGTTCACTTGATTCTCAGGATATGTCCCCTGTGTCCTACCACAACAGAGAGGTGACATTGTACTCTGAATCCTGGCATTGCAGTGCATGTTTTCTGTCAGGATGCAGGAGCGGGGATGGATAGTTTGGGGCGGAGGTTGACATGGGTGAATTGGTTTTCGCAACGCTAATGAGCTGAGCCCGGTTAATCAGGGACTAATGGGATATCCGGTGACGGGCAATCTCGTTAGGGAATTAGAGCAGGTCAGGCTGAAAGTGCGTCACACCTGACACACAGCGAAGGCAGCGAACGCAAATGGATCAAGAGTCAAACGTAGAGTTTTGCCTCAGAAATATGGCAGCTGCTTTTTCAAATTATAATTAAAAATCAAGAGACAGTGGGACCATCCAAACTTAATTTTATAAGGCCAAATCATCAGCACTTTGGAAGTAATTTCTTCTCCACACTGGGTTCAAACAAACGAAGGTCAGATATATTTGGATGCCGACAGTGAGGCAGGAAAAGAGAGAGGTTTTGATTCGATCAATGACAGGAAGTAGAGCAGGTGTTGCTCTCCAATGAGAGATGATCTCTTTGGTCCGCCCCCTCCTTGACATCTTGTAATCTGATTTGTGGCTTGAGTGGAGATTTTCTTTTTCTTCTTCTTCTTCTCGGAAAGGTGGGGAACTTCTCATAATGTGTGTGATATTAATCACATCCCTAAAGGAATAGTTAATTTCCCCCCATCCATATAGATCCTCTTACAGTTTGTACACAACGATGACGTACGTTACGGAACAGCGACGGAGTGCAATAGCTTGTCAAGCTATGTGAGGGCATTAACCACCAAAGATGGCGATTGCAACCTAAACAAGTTCACCTTCCAGATCCGAGTAACGTTAGTGAGTGAGTAGAACACATTAGCAAGAGGCCCCATATTTAGTGTGTATCAACATGTGTTTGGTGGTGAAAACCAGCGTGTAACGTGACACCAGAGAGACATTACCAGCTTCAAGTCACTAGAGGATCCAACTCTGTTATACATTCATGACAGAGACTCAGAGGTTTGACTTTATTCACTTTTAAAATGGGCGCTACAAACAGTCCAGTGATGGTCAACCCTTTCAACAGCTTGCAGCCATAGACGCCGCCGGTTTAACGAGTGAACAAGTTAACTGGTGACTCTAAGATGCTCTCAGTGTCGGCAGCTGTTGAAAACACCAACAGAACATGTAGGTGTCCTCGTAGAAGCCTTCAATCAATTACAAATACATACCCATCTCTGTTTATTATCTACGCCAACCATTTAAGCAAGTTACCACGAGCAACCACGGACTCATTCGGCTGAAAGTCACCAGCTAACACGGTCACTGGTTAAACTGAAACACCTGTTGCTCTGAAACGATCCTGATCCTGTCTGAATTCTGTAGAACTTGAGTCCGTTGCTGGAATATTGACTAGGACAACAGATCATGCAACAACCAGATATTTGATGTAAATTTTTTTACGTTACTTTAGTTACGGTCCGTCAACATCGTCTTTTGGTTGCACACCAGACATGGACAGTGGTCTCCCCGTTCAGAGTCCTGTGTTGGCCAGTTTATCCACCATGTCCCCCTGCTTAGGTAGAGTACCGCAAAGTATAATTAGAAATGCATTTAAAATATGTCAAAAACAAACGTAATCTGGGAGGAAATAGGAAAAAATAGGAGAAAATAGTAAAGTTTTGCTGTATAGTAAATCACATTTTTGGGTGGCAAGGAAACTGTTTATACATATATACCTGGAGACACATGACATGACCCCTGACATGCTATCAGTTTATGAAGTTACCAATATTTTGGGTTGGGTTTTTGTCCACCACATGGACTTCTGTCCAATATTCACTTTCCTTTTTAGCTCTGGTACGATCTCCACCAATTCCTTTATGAAATATCTGTCGTAGCATAACGAGCGATAACGTCCATACAGGGAGGAGGTCACGGTGGATGGATGGGTCCAAAAACAGAAGACTTTTACCCAGAACACTGTTGTTTGAGTCCCATTAAAACCAGAAGTCAATGTTGACTTCTGTACTTAAGTATCAAGACGTCTGTAGCTACATTAACCCAAACCGCGATCTTTTCCGAAACCTAACCATGTAGTTTTGCTGCCTAAACGCTGCAGGAGAACTGTTTGTGTTGCGGGACATTCGTAGAAGAAGAGATGGAAACCAACAAAATAAGAATTTATTTCTGTTTGTGGTCGTCAAGACACTAAAACCTCCAACGTGGTTATCAGCCGATATCAACATTTTCCAAGAGACAACTTTTTAGATGAGCTCAATCGTCTCCGTTGACGGCGTGCCAATTGGCTGTTTTTTATGCGTAAGACGTGAACTCACAATGTCAACCTCTCTGCTCTGTCAGGTAATGTACCCTCGTTACTACACTGCAGCTCTAAGCCGCAAGCCTCGTCCTCATTGGCTGGAGATCCTGCTAATCCAGCGTTTGACCTCATGCTTCATACTGACATCATCAGTGGTGTTTGACGGCCTCCTCTAAGGGGGACTTTGAGAGTAAGCCTCACCTTGCGTTGTGTCTCTTTTTAGCAATTGACGCAACAGGTTTTTAGAGTGCTGACATTATTCAGGGACGTATTGTCCTACAGCGAGGCACTCAAGTCCATTCTGCTGCTCAGGTTTATCTAACTTTCAGGCACTGCATGAGGTTAAGTGCAACATTTCATAGATTATAGTCAGTATTTAAAATTAATTCATTAATGTTTTCAGAATTTGCATACTAAAGTTGTGTTACACCATTTTTTAGGTATCAGATTTGTGCGTCTGTTCTTTGAGTACATTTGTGTGTGTGTGTGTGTGTGTGTGATACGTGCTCCACTCTCTTCTTCTTCTATGAAAAGATATATTAGACAAAAGCCAGAAAGTTTGTGCATCAGATAAAATGTTCTGCGTGAGTTTGTCTTATATATTGATTTTGAATGTACAAAACCAAACAATCAGTGTAAAAAACGCACACAACAACTCTCTTGTCAAGGCGCCAACTTTGTTTCCTACTTCCCAAAAGAGTTTGTTTTCTTTAATCGTATTTTTAACTTTCAATTAACCAGCTTCATTTTGTTCAATTATTTGTCATCATTAAAAAAATGTGTTTGTGCAGGATTGTGCAGCCTCATCTGAACACCGTACATGTTTATCCCCCGTGTGAGACCTGCTGTGTATTGAAAAACGCTGACAGCTCAGATGTTTAAGAAACATTAATTCGGCCACGCAGATGTTGTAACTTCAAGTCCCACGTTGTATTTCTAGCAGCTCTCAAAGCACAGTTTTTACATTAAAGTTCAATCAGGAAACTATAGTATTAGTAGTTAATCTCCCATCTTCTTTCACTTAGTATGAAACTTGTCTGAATGTACATATTGGCACCTCACAGACTTGAGAATTTTTGTTATTTATTTCCATAAATGCAAATACATTTTTTTAATGTAGTTCAAACCTTTAAAACCTTGAAATAATATTTTGCGCTTTATATGATAGTTACTGGAGACTTTATGGGTGATTGTAGCTAAATGATTTGAGCACCATGTTTATGCTTTTTGTCCCCCTGCATTTTCTGTTTATGCTTCTGAAATAGACATTTTCTTTTCGGGTTCCTGAAACTGAAACTAGAAACAGGTCTGTTGTTTGATTTGTTGAAGGGACACTATTACTCCGCCCTGTCTCGCTCTCTGTGTCAGCCTGTAATCTGGGATAATGGACTGTGACAGAAGAGGGCTGGCTAACTTCCTGATAACTCGCTGTGCTAACGAGCTCAGGAGGGAAGGAGCAATAAAAACCGTGCACACAACAAACCCCACATTTGGCTTCTTCATTCAGGGACACTCTCAGCCCAGTTTGACAAGAGAGGAAGTGGATGAGATGAAGACAATATGTAGGGCTTCAAGTCCAGAGAAGAAGAGACAAAATCTTAACCCGTCAATCAGACAGTCAAAGTAGTTTTACATTTTTTTTCAAAACTCTTTCCATACTTTTATGAACCAAAACTGAAACTTTTCGCACCAAGAAATACAGCAGGAGGAAATACCTCAAATAAATTCACCATGAAGCGTTTAACAATCTACTTAAGTTGCTCTGTACTCTATTTTCTTTGCTATCTTTAGGTAAATGTGGCCTGCAGCCTCCCACCCATACACATTCTACAGATGGACTGCTCGTGTTGTTAGTGCCACCTGCTGGGCAACAACAACAACAAGGATGACAAGGACGATGAGCAGCGAGACTGAATCAAAACAGTAAAGATGTGAGTTGTAACACCAAAGAGAAATCTTTCCCATCACACATAGTACTCTGAAGCATTGTTCATATAATTAAATAAAACACAAGTAATGTGAGACAAAACAATTATCATTATTATTTATTTACAAGATCCACAGGACATGTTTCTGCATAATTTCAAATATTTGATTCACGTTACATTCAAATGGAAAACAAAAAAAAGTATGAAACTTTATTTAAAAGTGCATTATATTCAAAATGATCATTCTTAATCACACGTGTGCACAGTTACCATCATGATACTTGTACAGTTAACATACATCTATTATAAACACTAAAAAGTTCATTTATTATGTAAAAAAATAAATGATAACATTGATAATTATCTTGAATCCCTGATCAAAACAAAACAAAACAAAAAACGAATCGATTATGTAGTAAAAGGCAAAGAAACAAAAGTAAAACCATATGAAACACCTTTGGTAACATAAAGCCAAAGAAGCACCACAGCCCTCATTCAAGGAGGTTCGGTAGTTGTGATCTGATACTTGATGGATAATTATTAGCAGTAGTATTATTCAACCCTGATAATTGAGTCTTCCTCTCAGGCTGCAACATCCTTCAATTTACAAGGAAACGTGATGAAAAAACCTCTTCAGTCTAACTGGACTTGATGTGAAGTTCTACAATCTAAATGTTACCTTTGTGTTTATTTATTGTACTTCTAAAGACCTAAAAAGGAACAGTTCCATAATAATCTCACAGGAGTTTCTTTAAAGATGCAATGAGTAAGATTTGGCCACATACTCAAAACAAATAGGGAGCAGCATTTCACCTCAGGGTCCTGTAAATCTCAATTTACAGTCAACTACTAACTAACAGCAATGCAAGAAGACACACCAATTCAACCAGACTGCTGCTATAAAAAACAACTGCCGAAGCCACACGTGAATATTAGTAACTCAACATGACTGTAGCTCTACTTCCTCTCATGTTGGACTGAGGACAGACTGGACGCTACAGCGACTCACTATCACCTCTCCAGGTTTTAAGTGGAATCACACGACAGGACGGGCCGGTGCTAGCTGGTTAGCATGCTAACTTCAGTAGACATCTCTGCAACACAACACAGACAACACTTCAACCTCTTCACATGCTGTTATAGGATGTTAGCTAATTTTTGAATGTTTTTTAACTAAACTTCTGGACAGATCTTACGCATTGCATCTTTAAATACCGATATTCATCACAAGATCAGTGACCGAGAATATACGGAATATCTAAAACATACAGACCAGTGCTTTTGATACAATAAAAGGAGAGAAGTTCATTAAATTTCATTCATCTTATATTCATCCCGTAAACCTGAAATATCTGACTGTATTGTGTCAGTTTTTAAGTTGCTTTCATGCCTGCAGGGGACAAACTACAGACGACCAGAGCGGCGCTGATGTCTCAGTGTGGTACGGCGGAGCTGGCGACGGCGGCCATGTCTTTCTCACAGATGAAGGGCAAGTACATGGTGCAGGGGGCATCGTACCAGCTCCGGATCGCCACTCGCTCCAACACGCGTGTTTTCACAATGTAGCCACAGTCCTCGTTGATGTGGTTGTTGGGCTCGCCGACCTCCCAAAAACTGCAGTTAGTAGAGGAGGAAAAAAATCACCTCGGTCAACAATACAGTCAAAGGCAGAATGAGTAGAATTGTAAACACAATACTCAAAATCGCAGCCAGCGGGTAAAAGCCAATGCCAGAGTCAGTCTAATCTTGAACCAGCTTTGCCCGCTTGTCATTTTGTCTCATTTTATTTGTGTTTTTTCTGCGTTGTGTGCATCCTCTTGGATGGGCATTTACAATCGGTCACCTTGTCGCAACGTTTTCATTGAGGCCCAGAAACGTCTGGAACATAGCCATGTAAGAAAAGAGGGCAGAGCCTCTGCAGATACAGACACCGCCACACACATTGAGGGGTCACGAGTTAATAATAAGGTGATTGAACGAGTCTCAACGTGTAAATATCTGGATGTTCTCCTAGAAGACAATCTGTCGAGTGTCTTACAAATGAGAAGTTTGGTAAATTAGGTGTAAATTATAGAATTATCTTTCGGCAATTGAGTGAATAAAGGTTAAATAAAATGAAAATAAGTGATGATTAAGAAGAATTATTTTTATGTGAGTCTATACTCATGAATCAATTAATCCTACTAATTTATTTCTAGAGAAGCTTACAGGATACAAACATAACAGTAGCAGCCCGCATAAAAAGTGGTTAAAGGTTCAAGAATAAAGGTTAAATATTACAGTAAATATGAAATCACCCAGCAGCAAGCTGAGCCGAAACAACATGAGGAAAAAATAACGAACATCTTAGCAGGAAAAGAGGAAGGAAAGGAATGCAGGGGGCAAAAGAGGAATGACAAAAGGTTTGACATTTTCAAAATGAGGAAGAGAAATCAGATGGTTATTAATAAATCTGTTGAGTTGGCAGAAGACGGGAACGAAACTTCACTGAGAACAAAATATTAAAACAAGCGGGAAGCCAGACTCGAAGATGACTTTGCGTTTTAAAGCAAAATGTATTTTTCCACAGTTTCTTCAGACTCATTTGTTTTTCATCAGAGATCAGAGGTCAGGGGTCACCTGCCGTGAAGCTCCCCGCAGCAGTTACATAAGGCTGCTCAGAGCTGCTGTTTCAGCAGGCGGACATGATCTGGGCCTGCTTCCAGCTGTTACCTCACATCTGTAACATCTAGAACCTTTAACTCATTGTTTATGTACTTAACATCTATGCCTCACATTACTACGATTAATGTAAATACAATTGTAAAAAGGGCCCAAGGTGATGTCTAACCAGCAGTCCAAAACCACAAAATATTCAATTTATAATAATGACTATAACAGGAAAAAGCCAGCCAGCCGTCATTCAGAGAGTTGGAAATGTAATGTAGTTTAAATGTGGCGATACGGTGCACATTTCATCTCTCCTGGAGGATATTCATCACGTTGTCCCCGGTTGTTCACGTGAAAAGTGCCAGAAATAGTTAGCTGGAGTGATTGTCTCTCTCGTTTACTAAAACCTTTGACATCTGCATCCGTCAATGCTGCTGGCTAAGAATAAGGATCACATTGGTTTCAAACCGTTAATAGCTTTAAAGAAGTATACTTTTCCATTGCCTGGGTCCAGACCTTTGAATCGGCCCTGACAATTCTGTCTTTGGAGTCCAGAAGCTTCACTTCCTTTTTTGATTTTTTTCCATTCAAAAATGTTCTGCACCTCAGGGATGACTTTCCAGTGAAACAGGAAGTATTGCGTTAGAGTTTGCACTGAACAGCGTTTATTTGCCTCGTCTGCTTCCCCCTTTTCCTTCCGCTGGCTACATCTTCCCCCTCGCCCGCTGACTCTCTCCATTCCAGTCCAACAACCATCACAGTGCGGCTTGCAGACCCAAATCTGTGCCAAAGTCAGTGTTCAACAGAGGTCCAATGGTCAGTCAATGTGTGTGTGGGTGTTTGTTCAGGTATGTGTGAATCACAGACAGTCTGCAGCCACAGGAGTGAACTCAAAGTTTGGGCAGAAATGAACTGTTCATAACTCCACTCATCCACCAACAGAGACTCAGTCCTTTCAAGGCCACTTTCATCTCCTGTATCTTCTTTAATACCTTGTGAAGTTCCTCATGAATAATAAATAAATACAAGAATGAGTGAGAAACTTTTGTTTATTGTACACTTTTGTATGTATTGCAGGCTTTAGTAGCTACACTAGTCATTGGCAAGAGACAAATCTTTATTTTTTGACAATCAGTCAAGTTGTGCCGTGAATATCACATATGATGTTTCTCAATTTAAAAGATAATTTTGTATGTCCGGAAATCTGCATTTTTTTGTAAAACTTTGAAAATACATAATTACAAATACTACAAACCCAAAAGTCGCGGAAGTGACATCTCTTTTTAAAAACTACGATGTGTTTACCTGCTTTATGGTCTGTTTGACTCTAAATGGACCATAATGTACTAAATGAACATCATGCTGTATTGAAGAAGACTTGAAACTAGAGATTGAGACCATAAACTCATGTTTACAATGTTTACTGAGGTAATAAATCAAGAGAGAAGTAGAGTCATTTTCTCATAGACTTCTATACAACCAGAGGAGTCGCCCCCTGGTGGACACTAGAGAGAATGCAGCTTTAAGACACATTTCCGCCTGGTTAGGAGGCGAGATGAGTTGTAAAAGAAGTGAACCTACCCTCCGTCCAGCGGGGTGTCATCCACCCATTTCCACTCATCCTCTGTGTGCCCGTCAGTGATCCCGAACCAGTAGGCGTTCCAGTGGCCTCTGGGAAGATGATCCCACAGAAACGACTGAGAGGAAACACGCAGACAAAGGAAATGTTGAAGTGCATCCAAAGAACACATTCATCACTGGTTGTTTTAGTATAGCAGACAGACAGCTCAATTGACCGTCACATTGCGACCGTGCAGCTCATGTCGCACACTGTACCTGCTCCTCCGCCGTGTGGATGATGGCCAGGTAAGCTCCTTGGCTCTGGCAGTACGACTTGCTCTCGGGCCAATCCCTCGTGGTTCTGGAGATGAAGTAACAGCTGTTGTTGAAGAGATGCCAGTCCACGGGGCAGACGATCGGGGCCTTCGTCGTGGGTTTGATCACCTCAGGAGCTGATGAAAGAGTGCGATTAAGCATCCGGGAAGCAGATCAGTGCGGTCCTCAAAATGCACAGTTCATCCTCAGTAACAGTCTAGAAGTTTATATGTGTGTGACCAAAACAAACCCATATACAAATATGGAGCCGTCTACCTTTAGTGGCTATCATTGTGTCCAGTTTGGCCAGAAGCTCGTTCTTCTCTTTCTGCAGCTGTTTTCTCTCCTCCTGCAGTTTGCTGATGGAGGCAGTCAAAGCTGACGTGTCCGAGTCCTGCGTCTGCTTCTGCATCTCTGAGGTCACTTCTCCATCTCTCTGAGGTTTGTTCTTATCTGTGGAACATATATGGTAAACATTATCAATTAACTTAAAGGTCATTTAAGAGGAACATCTTGGAAAGTATGAAAGTATCTAAGTTCCGGATCACACTGCTTTAAGCTAAAAGTTGACCTGAAGGCTGCGGGTGAGTGTTTTTATTTGTAATTTAGTAATTTTAATAATACAGCATCGGTAGTCTGCAAAAGGCGTCTGATGACACTCTCATCCACATGTTTGTGCTGGTTGAACGCGTGTTGGGAATGTTGGTACACCGCTAGTGTCAGAAAAACTCCACAGGGTTCCATTAATGTATTTTTTTTAAAACTTTAATACCAAAAGCAATAAACAAAATGAAAGACATAAGTATCTGACAGTTCGTATACTCACAGTGTGCGGTGACGGCTATGATGGAGATCAGCAGGACGGCACACAGCGTAGCCAGGCAGATGGTGGCGAGGCGGTAGGGCCCGGGGCCGCTCGGCCTGGGGATCAGTCTGATTGGGGAGACTGGGTGAGCTGGAAGTGGGAAGACGGTAAGATCGTTTATCAATCTAATAAATCGAGTTTTCTGGATATTGTATACTGATACACATAGAGCTAAATATCAAGCCCGTTTAATGTGAATGTTTTTTTGTCCCGGTTGCAGCAATTTACTGCTGTAACTTGTCTTGCTTTCTCATGCCTGACATAATGCTGGTTTGTATGTTTTCATTTCGGAGTGTAAGTTTATGAACACAAGTGCCCTAAATGAACCCCTCACTGCACGTGACTGTGCTGCTGTACTGTTGCATTAAAGGAACTGAAACAGTTGTGATGCATGAAATCAACTAAACTGAAATCAGCACTTTTAGTAGAGATGTTCTGGAACCATTTTTCTCTCCCGATACTGATTTTGATACCAGAACTTGCGTACACTATGATGGTATGGTACCGGATCTTACTCGTCGTGGCCCCTCCAGCTCTTTACAATGTCTTCATTTACAGGAGAATAACTCAGAGGAATCTACTCTGCTCTGTTCAGACTTGTGAAAAAGCTGTCAAGTCAGTTTCTGGGATGTTGGGAAATTTGGCTGCACGACAGTGACGGATTTGATTTGTTTGGACACGATACAACCGTCACCAGGCGGGAAGATTTATTCCCACACAGATTTAAGGATTTATTATTAATGCTGTTGTTAGGCTGTCAGTGTCTGATATACATATGAACTAACTTTCATGATATTTAGTGAATAACTCGATTGTGTCCATGAATCATAATCCGCGTTTTTTATTTACATTTAGTCTATAAATTAAATGATCGAGAGCTGATTCCAAATCCCAAGGAGAAGAGTTTGTGTGGGAAAAAAAGTGAATGCAAAAGTCATGGCTTCAACCCTTCGATCTTTCACCCATTGCTTAAATATCCTTAAAGGTGTTTTACTCTATTTTAGCTTTTATTATTACTAATTTAACATCTGCATGCTAACATGCCCACAAGGACAAGTTCATTTTTACACTATTGCGATACTTTGTATGGATTTTATGTTGTAATGTGTGTAGTGTTTGCTCTTTGTAATGCACTTTGCACTTTTGTTTTGTTTTGAAAAGTGCACTATGAGACAAGTTTAAAGCAGAAAAAGTTTCTGACATTAAATAGACGAAACAATGAATCTATGAACAGAGCAAATACGATTAATTGATGATAAAGAATCATTACTGGCAGCCCTAGCAAGTATTATCATAATTCAAAATTGATAATAAATAATAATTAAAACTTTACTTCATTCTACTGCTGGATGACACAAACAAAGGTGTGCAAAACTGACATTAAGGTGAAATAACGTAGCTTGCGTGTGTTTTGATTTGTGTAGTGAATCCGGTATTTTACACATTCTGTCTTCAATAAAGCAGCGCGTGAACTGAAAACAGTCAACAAGAGAGACTCAAATAAAAGTAACTCAAATATTAAGCAGCAGAAGTGATTTTAATCCTCCGTGAAGACGCAGCAGTTACATGAAATACTTTGAGTACTTACCGCTGAGCCCCACATCTGGCCTGCGGTTCAGATCGTCATATGCGTCCTCGTCGTCTATCAGTTTGGAGTACATCCCCTCACAGGCCAGGGAGCTCCCGGTGGACGACATTGCAGCGGTGGAGGAACAAAAAAAAAAAAGTATTGATATTAAAAGTTTTAAAACAAGTTTCTGTGTGGAGTGAGAGGGAAAACAAAACTCCCAGTCAAGCTGTGAGTGCCCCTCCTGTCCCTGTTTCTACTCTCTGTAAACCGTCTGTGCTGCAGCATGTGGAGTCAAGCACCCCGAAGAACAGCCCCAGATGTGTTCAGGTCATTTGTGTCAAAATAAAAGCTCCAACGATGCACTGGTGCTGCATAAGTCGGTCGTTGAGTAAATATCCTTTCTTAAACTCCACTATTTAAAAAAACAATGATACCACTATTGTGAAGGCTTCACTGCACTTTTTTTCGTATTCAACATTTGCGACATCTGAATGTTTTGCACACAGATGTCGCAGAATAAATGACTTACAAATGAATGGACGTAATGTCGTCTGCCTACCAACATATTTTACAAACAAGGACTACTGACAGGAATAAAGTACTGCAAGAAACAACTATGTCAACTTAAAACATGAAACTTTATGTTAGTAAAGTCTACTAAAGAAAACAAACAAACAGATTAACATCATTAGTTTAGGAAAGTTGCAGTTAATTCGCATATTGTGTTAAAAAAAATGACAGAGTGCAGGTCTAAGAACAAATGGCATGAAAACAGCAAGTCTCTTATTTTGAAGGCAAAGCTGTGAGTTATCCTGTCTTGTTGTGGTGTGCTTTAAGTCGCTTTCTGACGTTTATTATGTCACGTTATTTACGGTAAAAACAACAAAACATTGACTATTTATTTACAGGAAGATGTGCAACCGTTTCCAGTGATTTGTTGTGTTTCTGTGTGTCTGGTCTTCACAGTGTCTTCTGGATGAATCGATTTATGATCCTTCTCAATCAACTCAAGAAAAAGAACAAAATAGATGAGATGAATTTGATTGCAGACTAAAATAATAGTAAAACTGTTGTAAATCTCTACAGCTGTTATGGTCACGTTTTCTCATGTATCTTCACTTTATTTTTAGCAATGCTAGCAGCTGTTAGGATGTCATGGTGGGTCTGTGGGCCTGTTTGGTCCAGAGTGAGATATCTCAACAACGATTGATCTCCATGACATTTGGTACTAACACTCATGTTCCCCAGAGGATAAACTGTGACAACGTTGATGATCGCCTGACTTCTCATTTGGCATCAGGTCAAAATTTAAATTAGTTAAATTTGTACTTTTTGGTTTAGTAGATATTTAAAAACAAACGTCAGTCCCACCAGTCTCGACTATACCTTGTATGTAGTGCTAATTAGAACATTTTTACATGTTAACGTGCTACAATCAACAACAAAAATATGAGCCCTGAACTGGATGGATAAGGAGCAGAGGAATGAAGACGAGGGTCCGGATGCACAATGGTGAAGATGAGGAGAATTTGCTCATCAGCCTAAGTTGAATTTTGTATTAAGTGCCAATTAGCAATATGTTAGCTTAAGCCTTAGGTATAGTTAGTTTCATATTTTATGAGAACGTTTTTTGTTTTTATCGCATCTGATTTTAAGTATTTATGTCTCTTTTTATCGATTCATTCTCCCAACTGGTATTTCATTAATCAATATCTAAATCCCTACATTGATTTGTCTTCTGTTATTTTGCGGGAGGCCACGCCCTTTCTGCTGACTGTCACAGGTATTAGGTGTTCAGACCTGGTTGCTCCCATCTTCTTCACAGCTGCTAGTGCAGAAGAGCGCCTCCCTTCAACCCCATGGCCATCTGTGAGTACTGCACCTGTAGTAAATAATAACGACATAATAATGATAAATAATAGACCTAAAAGTTCAGATAATTCAATAGAACACGGCACATAAAAGCTGTTATTCCTTACTATTGTACAAACTGTGTGTCAACATAAAAAACAGCAGATTTATAAACATTATAGATTTAACAGGAGCTTCATTTTAGTGAGTTCCAGTTGTTTAAATTCTGACCTTGCTGTAGTGATTTGAGAAGTGTGGTCAATTAACTGCTGCTTTTCAGCTTGGTGGTAAGATATTTTATAGCTTTAAAGCTTTTTGTTGTTGTTGTCGTTGTACCTCCCTGTTCCTGGGTGGAGTTTATAATGATGATGCTTTGTACATTGCTTGTATTGTTATTACAAATGGTCACAGAATCCAATCAGAAACGTAATAATGAAGTGATAAAAAATTGAAAGACAAAGAAGATAACAGTTTTTAGTTGCTGTCCTTATTTCCCTGTTATTTGGAAAACAAGGACATTAAATATCAAATAACCACAGAGTGAAGATGAAGGTCTATCCGACTATGATGAAGCTACAACTGAGACTTTGATGAGTCAGTGAAGAAAATATCAATGAATAGCTGAAATACCTCAACACGGTCTGACCTTAAAACAATGCTAAACTGCTGTCCTGCTTCTGTAATCAACAAAGCTTCCCCTGAACATGAAGCAATGTCACATTTGCACCAGAAGATGTCACCATTAAATAATATATGAAACTTTGAAACTCCAGCGACAGCATGGTTCAAATGGGATTCATATGAGCAACGGAGTGAAACTACCACAGACCGCAATGTAACTGTTACAGTAACGAGAATCAGAGGGTTGTTTCTGTCCCCTTTCTCATTTCCTCCACCTCCATCTGGACCGACTCTTCCAACGAGGCCTGGCAGGTTGAAAACTTTATTTTGATAATAAGAGATAAGGTAATATTAAACATATATATTATATATATATATTATATATATACAATAATTAAAATATGTGTCATGTGCATTTCATGGAAGATAAACAAAATAGGAAGAAAAAAATGTTGCATTTATAACAATTTAACAATGTACAACGACCAAAAATCTATTTCAAGTTTTATTCTTCACATGTTCATAAAAATACGTGCAGTTATACTGTTAGTGTATGATGATGGAGAAGGATACAAAATTATAAATATATGAAATTAAGTATTAAAATGCTTAAGTGTGTATTGGATTGACAAAGTAAAAAGTTATACTTACTATGGTATTAAACATATAGCATAATTAATTACTATAGTATAAATAGTATTTCCTGACATTCTACTGTTATATTGACTTCATCGTCAGTCAAACTTACATTTCTTCTATTTCTATTCAGCTGTTGAGTGAGATCAGTTCCTCTTCAGCTGAGGAGGTTTTTGTACGACGGTGTATCACTGTGTGAACGGGACGCTGTTACTCTGCTGACAATAATAATCTCCTGCATCTTCAGTCTGAACTCCACTGATGGTCAAAGTGAAGTCAGTTCCAGATCCACTTCCACTGAAACGATTTGAAATCCCAGACTGACGATTTGTAGCCTGATATATCAAAAGTTTGGGAGATTCTCCAGATTTCTGAAGGTACCAGTGAAGCCAGCTACTAGCACTTGAACTGGCTTTACATGTGATGGAGACAGTCTGTCCTG